TTTTTTTTTTTTTTTTTTGGTGCGTCTTTTTAGACACCAGCATTTCCCAGTATCTAATTTTGCTGCCATGCTGCAAATAGACAAACATGCACATGCATTTTGCGGAGGGCTGCTTACCAAGTTGTGGCAAGCTGTCGAGAGCCGCATGGGGTAGCCCTGTCCCTTGACAGGTACCCCGCCCCCTGGTCACCATCTTGGGACCAATGTCCCAGGGCCAGCACCGGTGAGGCCCAGAGCAGGGTGCAGGCTGGCAGGGGTCTGTGGAGCTGGGCTTGGCTGCACCAGCAGGGAGAGGGGGGAATTGGCCTGGCTCCATAGAGCCCCTGCCAGCCGGGATCCTGTACTCCTGTCGCCCTGCTCTGGGCCTTGCTGGCGCTGGCCCTCAGACATGGGTGCAGGCCCCACTCACTCCCCGTGCTCCCCCAGCCCTGCAGTATAGGCAGGGGGCAGTGCACAGCCCTTACCCCCTGCTCGCCAGCAGGGGACTAGCTGGTGCTGAGCACGGGGAGGGGAAACAGTCCCTCGCCCACCCCGTGGCCGGCGCTCCCTGCTGCAGCCGCTCGCAGCCTGTGTGGGGCTGTCCTGAGCAGGCAGAGGCAGCCCCAGGTGGGCTATAAGTGGCTGCAGCGCAGGGCGCCAGCCACGGGATGGGCGAGGGGCCACTTTTTTTTCCCCGCACTCAGCACTGGCTTGTAACTCGCCTGCACTGGCTCCAGGCTTGCCTGTTGGGGCTGTACCGTGGCAGCAGCTGTGGCCCCCCCCTCCGCTTGCTGCGCTGGGCAGTGTTGGCTGCTGCTGCCTGCCTGGAGCTCATGGGCTGGGGAGCAGCAGCAAACGCTGCCCAGCGCAGCAAGCCAGGGGAGGGGCGATGAAAATCTTGTTTCACTTCCCATGAACTTACTCTGTTCCCATCTCCAGAATGTGCCTTGTATAATGAGCATGTTCTTTCTTTGGTGATGAACCACTATGGTCACCTGCAGACTTTCAGTTTCTACTAGGAGAATTACTGTCAGAGTTACTCCCAGAGCAAGAATGGTCAATCTGGGAGAAAAATAACCTGAAAACAACCAGGGTTTAAATGACTTCCAAGAAAGTTTCTCCTGGAAGAGCAAACTTCTGTACTCTTACCTTCTGAGAGAAGCTGCACTTGATTGAGAAACAATCCTTTGGCTTCCCAGTGTACTTTGCTCTCAGTTACCCCTCCCCACAGCTCCAGGGAGACTGCATGTCACTTGGGCTGGACTCTGAGCAGAGAGCACCATCACAATCCCCATGTTGTGCTGCAGGGTGATGAGGCAGCCAATGAGGGCTGCCATGTGCATTACTGTCATCTGTTGCCATGCAGCTGTGGCATCTGCAGAGCACACTGAGATGTTTGCTCATTCCCCCCCCCCGGCTGGGCAGCAGCTCAGCATTTGCCTACTGTTCAGGGGCCCCCAGGTAAGTTTTTTTGGGTTGTTGTTTGTTGTTTTTTTAACCAGAAATAACAGCAGAATTTTCTTTCCCAGGTTGTTTGAACATATGTATGCAGCCTATCTGGCTACCACTTAGAGTTGGTGGTTGGATGTCACATCAGTAAAACTCTGAAGTTGAAGGGCTACATGTAATGCTTAAAATGACATATTGTTGCATTACTTCCCAAAACTATGTAAATTGATAGACTTTGCATGAGTGTTGTACCTCCCTCCCCACGATGTACTTGTTTTCCTGTGAAACTTATTAAAATACTAGGTCAAAATCCTGATGTTATTTATAGGTTACAATTCTTGGTGTACTGCTAACATTATTATAGTCTTACTGATGCAGATACTTTGATGTTTGTTATAGTTTAGATTTTGACTTATCTGTTCTTCTTATTGGGTGGCAAAACTGTTTTGAATGCTTGAGAATAGAACTACAAAATCATGGAACCCATGATTAAGAAATCACTTGCTGCTTTTCAGACTTTGACTAGTTGAACTGAAGAATGATGAAGATAATTCCTCTGCTGTGTATTTTATTCGCCATTTACTGTATTAAATTATTAGTTTGTTCTGGCTTAGGCAACAGTGGTATCCCTGTATTGAACTGTTATGCTTACTTTACATAGAATTGCTTTATGTCTTTGGTGCTTTGTGCAACATTTGTGACAATCCAAATGTATGGATTTTTAAAACAGAATTGACAGATTTTTTAGCTATAGCACTTGCTTTAGTTCATCATTTTAAAGCAGTAGGAATCAGATACAAAGTGCAATCTATTTTTTTTTAATTTTTCAGAGGCCCAGACGACATAATAAATGATTGCAAAATCCTTTTTATAGAGGAAATGTACAAGATTGAAAAACCAGGAGCTTATCCGCTGACATTTGGGGATGGAGATTTCAAAAGTATGTTTTTTTATTATTTGATTGAGAGCATTGTTTAAATATTTGAACGTTGTTTTTAAAAATTAAAGTTTTGTAATGGTGATCTAGCAATGCAGATTTAGTAATCATTTAATGAATTTGTTTGATGTGTTGAGTCAAGTAATAATGTAGATTCATAATTAGACAGACTCTAATATTGCTGATGTTCTGAAGAGCCATCATGAATATGGATTACATAGAAATGTTTGGAAAAAAATGTTGATGTATTGCATTAATTTATGAAGTAATAGTATCAGAACAAAATGTCATACAGTTAGCATTTAGATTATATTTATCTGTGTCTGTATACATAAATCAGATTGGTGGTTTAAATTTAATTCCTGGTGAACAAGTATCCATATTATAAGCAAGGTGCCAATGGTGATTGTATGTTCAATAGAGACCAAAGGTAGAATGGGCCTGTAGTGAGCTGCTCCTCAAACTTGACCTCCTCTAAAGGTGAAAAAAGGAGCCAGGTCATTTGGGTTCAAAGCTCTTGTTATATGCCAGTTATGTGAATAAATGGGTTAAGTTCTTGGATTTGTCAACTTCAACCTTTGTGGCACAACATTTGTCTTAGAAAAACTGGCTTCTTATCTTAAACCTGATATACTCTGTTGACTGCTTCTATACATGCCTTGCCTCCATCCTACATTCCAGGCATTACAAACTAAATATGTTCAGCTACGTTCTGTCTGATACTTGCACCTATATTTATTCTAAGAAGACCCATGAGTTTATGTAATGAATTTAGTGGGAGGGATTTTTCTCACCAAAGGGTACTGTTACTGGAGGCTGATTCAGGCTGCCCTAAAATCCAGAGTAAGGCTGTTCCCACAAGTGTGACTCAACTGAGATAACATATGATACTTTGAAGCGCAGCCAGGGAATGTACTGCATGCATCTTACCATAAATGTGTTGATGCTAGCCCCTTCCTTTTTCATGAGTGATAAGATATACAGCAGAAATATTCTTCTCAAGGTGAATGGTTAATGCTCCTTTTGAGGAAAACCAAAAATGTGGTTATTCAGGTAATTATTCAGACTGCCATAACATATTTAATAATTTGCAAAATTCAAATGGTGTGTAAAAGCATTCATGTAGAAGTTACTTCAAGGAATAAAATAATTAGTGCACGTAAATAATACAAAATAACTTGGTAATTTTCTTACTAAAAAGAAGAGTAATAAAGCTTCCAAAAACACGAGGCTTTACATTGTCTCAAACACAATTTAAAAGTTTGGTTGCTGCCCCTTCTTTTAATCAATTATATTGTAATACAGGTTCTGTTTCTAGTAGAAGTTAAACTTGGAAGATTCTGTGAAAACAGATGAAGCACTCTGCACTGAAAAAAAACAGGCTGAAACCCCTATATGTAGTGGTGGAATATGCATGTGCAGATACAGTCGCTGCAATTCGTCAAGAGCTGATTTAAACCAGAAATGGAAACATTAGAAAAAAACCTCAAGACATACTAGCAGCAAAAGAGTGTGTATAATCATTTGTGCATATAGAAAAGACCATCTAAAACAGTACTCTGATTGGAATATAGGTTAAATAGATTTTCAGTATTGTGTTTCTGTGAATCTGATTTATGAAAAAAGCTAAAAATTAATTCTTTGAGATGATGGTCTATTTTATTAATAAATTCTGGATACTCCTGGTGTTCATACCTACTAAAAACATAGCATAAGCCTGTATTTAATATATGCTTCAGAAGCCAGATTATGTGAGAATTTGTTCTTTGCTTCTGTTCATCTGAATGGCTGAACCAGTTGACTTCCCTCTGTTTGAACTGACTAGAGGGAGTGATCAGTCATCATCCATCCAGATTTGTTTTCCTTGGCCAGGTGTAGTCTTTCTTTAGGTGGACTGTTATGCTTTCTTCAGTTTTTCTTTCAAGTAGAGTCCTTTGACTGCCTATGAAGTAGTTGTTTGGCCATCCATACCGAAAATAGCAGTGTGGTTATGTATACATTCTTTATTAACAATCTCATTATGTCCCAGTTGTGATGCTTCCTTTCACTCTCCCTTGAAACATACAGAAACAGAGCCAGGCCAGAATGCTCCCTCCACTCTTAGAGCAAGTAGGACTATCTTAGCTTATCCAGTGGTGGTGAACATAGTAGGAGATTTGGCTTCCCTTTGCTTCAGGTGAGTCTAACCCATGCTGTCCGGTTTTTAACTGGACAGTTAGTGATAGAAACTGACTCTCAGCTCATCATTTTAGGTCATTTCACAAGATTTTCCAACCTGAGTTCTAGTTGCTTCACTTTTTTAGAATTCTGTCTCTAAGCTCCTTACTTCTCTGAAATTAAACATTTAACTACATCATCTTTTCTGCCTCTAGAGACAGTGTGACAGCCAGAAGATCCTGAAAGCTACAGCATTTTAGCCCTTGTTTGTCATAAAGGGGATGTTTCAGGCAGTAAGACATCTGTCTCCAGGTTTTACCCTGAAATTCTTTCCTTAGTGGAAGATACTATTCCAGGACTTTGTTCATGACTGAAGCTAAACCTCCCACAAAGAGCAAATCATTGATTTATCTTTATCTTATGACTTATTTCTTTCTTTACCCAAAAATATAGGTATGTTGCTGAAGAAGAAAAACTTAAAAAGTGTCTGTGGGTTCATTGGCACACAAGGAATCCTTTTCATCTTCTATTTAAGTCCAAACTTAATAGGAATTTTTGTTTTGAAGATCTCGGTTAATTAATAAAGCTGATTTCTAGGACTCTGTACCTAGGTGACCCCCTGACAAGCTCTCCAGTTTCTAAAGTAGGGGTTGCCAAAGTATTGCACCTGATGGGCTATTTCAGAGAAGCAGTCCTGAATGGTGGGCCTCATCAAAGGGGCTTCCAGGCTGCATTTGGCCCACAGGCCACAGTTTGGGAATCCGTGTGCCAAAGGGTACAGTTTGAACAAATATGTGTACAGAGGATGAGAAGAGGAGTACATCTCTGGGGATGCTTAGGTGGACCTTTCTCTTTTCTGAATACTTAACCAAGAGAGAGGAGCTTGAAAATCTCTTTACTTACACTTGTGACATATACACTACAGCTCGATACTTCAGAAACCCATTGGTCATTTTGTACATGAAAACAATCCTTCATTCCCTTAAAAGCTAGTCTTTCTCTCAGAACCTGAGAACAGACAACTGAACTCTGGATCTATAAAGCAATATTAATTGACACTTAAATGTCTGGCTATATTCCTTTTCTCCTTGTACATCAGCCATCTTTTCCATGGAGTTGCCATTTCTGCAAGAATCTGGAAGCTTCATGCTCCCTGACTACTTTTTAAAGAATAACTTAGACCTCTCATACCTAAACGACTAAAACTTGGCATTGCTGAAGAATCACTAAGAACTTGTCCCAGGTAACAGCATGTGGCAGTCGTGGCTTGTTCCACTATGAACTCTTTTTATTTGGACAAATTAAAAAGAGAGAGAGAGAGACAGACAGACAGACAGACAGTGAAAATGATTACGTATCTAGAAAACATGACATATAAGGTAAAATTGGAAGAACTGGGAACATTTAACTGGGAGAAGAAAAGACGCACTTGATATGTTTACAGATACAAAAAAGATTGTTTTGAAGGGGGTGGTAATCCAGCTGTTCCCTGTGTTTATAGGGGAAAGGTGAAGAAGTGAAATGGGTTTAATTTCCTACAAGTTTAAATTTAATCTTGATATTAGGAAGAACTTTTTGTAACAATGAGGTTGGTTAAATACTGGAACAGATTACCATCAGAATCACCATCTTTGGAAGTTTTTAAGTGGAAGTTAGACAAACAGGATCTCTGGTATGGTTAGAGAGCTTCTTTGGTCAGGGGGTTGGACTACATAACCCCTGAGGTCCATTCTAGCTTTTGTTTTCTGTGATTCTATAGTTTTGACTAAGACTTTGGAGGGGTGATTTTTGGATGCAAGCTTGCCTTATTTTAGGGCTCTCACCTTTCTTACAAGATTTCTTCAGGCAAATACAACCTAAAAAAAGGAGGACCTCTTCACCTAATTCTTTTTGTAGATTCCCAGGCAAATATATTTCATGCTTTGGCATCCTGGGTACCTCCAAGTCACCTTTTGATGTTGGAGCCCACGAACCTATTTTGTATGCTCCAAAACTAAACAGTTTTTAGTCTAGTTCTTTGTTCCTTCCCTAAGATTCTTTTAGAAATTGGATTCCTGGAAGTAAAAGACCACGGAAAGAAATTCCTGCAAATTGATGGGCCCTGTCAGTAACAGAAAACGGCTTTTTGTTTTTGAGCACTTCATTATATTCTTTTTCATCTTCTTTTTACTTAAAATAGAGATCATGACAGAAGACAAACACCAGGTGTCATTCCTTTTCTCAGAAGGAAAAGGGAAGAAGAATCCATTCTCTCTAATTTATAGAGTTGCTAAGAATCTGCAGTTTTTGGGGATTTAATAACTATATATGTGTACTGTCTGGTAAATAAACCTCTGCAGAAGGCAAATAAACCAGGAAATGGAGATGTGGACGTCATAGGATAGGCAGGGGCCAGAGTATTCATTAACCTTCCTTTTCTCTGTATCAAAAGAAGGGAAGGCAGGCTCACACAGATGCACATGAGCAGCCCCAGCATGCATGCAGCTAGGAATGCAGCCCAGCTGCATATAGAGCAGTGCCCAGCAGGTAAATCTGTGGAGGGGAATGAGGGGTGGGGAGGCACAGATCAAGGCCCCAGTAGTGAGGGAGGGAGTGGGGCAGGGTCTAGGGTCAATGGAAGCTTGTCTAGAGGTGCTGGGGGGGGCACAGCTCCCCGGTGCTGTGTATACCCCCTGGGGAGGCATGGGGGTCATGTGCCCTTCCCTTC